TGGCTATTTGCGAATTAACCTATACTATTTGTAAATAGTTTATATAAATTTGCGAATAGTTTATGCAATTCTAGCCATTTTTTTTGCCTGTTTTTGGTCATTTGACGTGTGAGATAGATATTGGGACTAACTTAACGGTATAATAGTAAATGCAGTGGATAAAGAACTACCCAGGAAAGTTCTCAGACTACACAATTTCTTTAAGCGTTATAACAAGAAAAAGTTGAGTTCAGAACGACATATAAACAAATTACTTAGTTTATTACATAACTATTACCATGCAACCGACAGATGATAACTAATGAGGATATCAAATCTAGATAATGGACCAGAAAAATTACCAAATATAATCTAGATTATGTTACTTTAACTGAGGATAATAATAAGTGTAATATAGCCACGTACGACATTTTCTTAGAGGATTGGTTTAACGCACTTAAAACAAAAGTGAATTGCCGCCTAAGAGCTGATTACAAAAAACATAAAGCCTCAGACACAGGTCGAATGAAAAAAAATTGGATTTTGACCCTTTTAAAATAGCTTTGCCGATATTAGCATAAACATGCCAATTTTCGCGTATTTATGTATAGATGTGCCCATTTATGCCAATTTTTAATAAAATCCGATACATCAGTCAGAAATACCAATTTTTAATGGCCGATCTTTGTTAATATTAAATTCAGATATTGTATTATTATATAGTATTGCTCGCTTTTCATATCGGAGGTCTGATGTACAAATCGGAATTTGCTCCTTTAAATATAGCCATGCCAATTTCAGTATAGCTTTCGATGAAATCCAATAATTCAGTCAGAAATACTAATTTTTAATGACCGATCTATGTTAAATAAAACTAATATTAAATTCGGATGTTGTATTATTATATAGTATTATCCGCTTTTCATATCGCAGGTCTGATGTATAAATCAGAATTTGCTCCTTTAAATATAACCATGCCGGTTACAGCATATCTTTGTCGATTTAAAGTATAATACTGTCACGGTAATACTGCAGACTTAATAATTTTAATATATATATATATATACTAATGTACCGACTTCATAACAATGAAATTCGGATAGAGAAGAAAAAAAAGAAGCATTGAAAAATAAGTGAATTAAACCTTCACGATATACTTAAAGATAATAAACTTAGGACCTTAGGTGGAAAATTAGTTAAGTGCTTCTTAACTTAACAAATAGAAATATACTTATACCATAAAAGAAAAAGAGAACATAATTATTTAAAAAAAAAATTATTTTGATTTTTTTTTTTATTATTATTATTATTAGGTAAGTTGGAGCGTAATAAGTTTCTCAGATTTTTTAGAGCTTGATTTTCTGCTTAAATTAATAAAAGATATGTTAATAAAATAATATGAAATAATAGGACAAAGATATTTTTAAGTAATAAGGAAGATACTTACATCGTAATTTGCGTATTTGCCGGTGAAGAGTAGAAATTGATTCTACTTCATGATTCTCCAGCTCCTCAACCCTATCTTCTGCGTCCCAGAGTGCATTAATAGTCCTTTGGTGAGCATTTTGGAGCTTTTGTAGTGCATTAGTAATCCTTCGATGAGCATTTTGGAGCTCTTGTATCTTGGTTTGCGAAGCATCTAATGCAAGGCATATTCCCAGACCTCTGTTATAACAATCGACTTTCACTGAGCAATAAAAAAAAATACATAACATATATATAAAAATAATAGGTGGTTAGCAAAAGCTAAGTGAATAAGTCGATAGTCCATGGAAGCATTCTTCAGGATTGTTCCATTTAAGAACCGAGACTGCCTGGAGGTACAAGACCTCATCTTCAGGTGACCCATCTAAGAACCGGACAGCTCTGAGAGTATAAAACTCCGTCTACAAGCGACTCCATTAGAGAAATACAACCATGAACCTTGTGTACGATACCCACTTTTCAAAAATTTTACGGTCATCATACGCTTCGCTTTGAGCGTCTTAAAACGCTCCTTAGATTTTTTCTGCGAAGTTGTGGAACGGCGAGAACAGGACCCAGAAATATATATATAGGGGTAGGGTACAGGAATGCGTCACCATCATAGTAACAATATACGAGGTAAAGTTTGAATTTGCGTATTATTTGAGACTTTTTTGGCCATAGTCTGATCATCAGATTGCATATTTTTGGCCAAATTTATTATATGTAAAATATTCCATTTGCGTATTTTTAGCCTAAATTTGGAAAATTATATATTATATATATAAAATTGAACACGTTGTGAATAAAAATTAACCTGTTGATCAGCAATCTATGATATATCAGAGATATATCTTGCATTATTGTTTGAAAAAAAAAATTTTTTTTCTTTGTCTTTTTGTTATCTGCTTATCTTAAATATGCCAAGTTGGAAATATAGCTTCGAAAGACTTTCAAAACATGAATATGTTGCTTGTGTTATACATCCTAAAAAAGTAGTGTGTATTTGTGGAAAAAAAATAAAATTAAATCGAAAATGGGAAGAAGATTATCTTAACCGTCATGTTCAACGTTCTGGATGTAAAGCAGATAAAGGACAAAAAACACTTTATAACTGGTTTAAACCAATAGAAAAAACCGAAGAAGAAGAAGAATATGATTCTGATGTATATGATGATATGGATGATGATGATTTAATCCGAATTGATGAAATAGATGATAACGATCAAAATCAAGAATTTTTAGATAATATTAATATTGAAGAAACAAGTGATACAAGGAATGCTAAAAAAAGGAAGTTAATTTGTATTGGCCTTCAATCTGAAGAAATATTAAAATACATTAAGCGAACTCCTGCACAATTTGGAGGTAGTCGTCGTGTTGAAGTTGTTGCACGCGAACTTTTTCCTCATTTGTTTTCACAGAAATTCAGCAGAAAAAAAATGGATCATAAACAAAAAAGGAAATTAAATCGACAACTTTTTGCAGAATCCATATGGAAGATTGATCGATTAAGTATGTATTTATCAAGTATTTTATCAAGTATTTTAGTTTTTTTTTTAGTTATTGATTTTTTTAATAATCTTTTAAAGGTAATTCTGTTCGTGCAAAAACTTGTACTGGAATTGCTGAAGAAGTGAATGTATGTATCGAATGTTCTTCAATTCGATATAACAAAAATTTGAGCAATAAAATTGCTCGTCCTTTACCATTGCCTGTTAATGTCAAATTTACCCCAAAACATTACTGGGAATATAACCCCTTAAAAAAAATTCTACAAAATTTTGATCTCTGTGACATTTGGAACAATCTTAACAATGAATCTGAAATTCAAGCAGAAAATCCGTGGATCACTCTGGCTGATAAAGCACTAAAAGGTGCTTTTAAAGACGTACCAGTATTCACTGGTCTTTGCGAAGTGATGGGTAATGCTATTGAAAGAAAAATGAAAAATCAAAGTAAAAGAAATATGAAATATAGTGACGAATTTACAAACTTTTTAGTCATATTAGGAGGGTTTAGTTCAAGGGCTCTAGATTTATTTCGTCAAAATTTAGAAGGCAGAACAATTCAATCAATTCGGTATAATTAATTAAATTTATAAATATATATTTATTTAAATTTGGTTTTTTATTTTATTTTACTTTAATTTTATAGGCAGTTAAGAAGAAACGATGAGGATTGTTTGACTAGGACCCCGGATATCTCCAAAACAGGTCATAAGTCGTCTCTTATACACATCT